TTGTGACCAAGCGTAGAAAGGCTCGTTGTATGACGAGATCGTAAATTCTTCATTACCCGTCAAGAGGATTTCAGAACGTTAATAATGTACAATGAAGATTCCGATGAGGCGATTTCTAAAACTTTTTTAATAAAGCACGCTTTATGAATACTCTCCTCCCCGGTCTTGCGCCCTGTTAACGATATTGTATACACGCTACGTCTTTCAAAACTGTTTAAAAGATTATCAGCGTAACTAACTCGCCATTTCATAACTCGTCGTTCATATTTTACCATCCATTGAATCTATGGATAAAAATATCAACCAAACGAGAATTATTAATAATAAAATCCATCGAGACAAAACGAAATAACAGAAAGCGATTAAAGAGAGATTTAAAGATTGCTTCGTAAAAATTCTTCTATCCTTTCCAAAAAATCTTATATATATATTTTTTTTCTTTCCAACTCCGTATCATTCATCCGTTTAACAACGTTTCATTGCTTGCAGGCATGAGGCCAAAGATGAAGAATCATTACAGAGCTCATCAACTATCCGTTTGGCTTCGCCTCGTCCCAGAACTTCATCGAGCCGGAATGGAGGACGTTGATTCGAGACACAACTTGTTCCGAGGACACTCGGATCCCAACCTCTACGACGGATCGGTGAGGCCGGATCCCCTGAGCAGAATCACCGAGGAATTCAAAAGGAAGAACGTAACCACCGAGCCTCCGACCACCACGGATTACAATGCTGCCACGTGTGTCAGTTACATTCAGACCACGAATTTGCAGAACATTAATAACACCGGTATAGACACCCTGGCCAATTTGGATGCAGCTGGGTACGTGATAAAAATTTCAACTCCGCGTAATGAAAACGTTAATAAAGAATCTTTCCATTATCTTCCTCATCTTTGGAATAGCATGTGTGACGATGAAATTCGAAAATATGCAATGCATAATGTATGTATCGAAGGCAAAGGATTATTTAATAAATCTCGATCGAAGTATTTTTTTGTAGAGCGTGTTTTGTTTGATTCTCATAGAACTTGAGATAGATTTAAAGATATCGATAAAGAGCGATAAATAATTAATGTTTCTTTTTTTTCGTAGGTATGCCGCGTACTCGACAGCTTTGAGCGTGACGATCGCGATCGGATGCAGTTTGCTGATTTTGAACGTGCTGATATTTGCGGGGGTTTACTATCAAAGGGACAAAACGAGGCTCGAGGTAAAAAGTCTTCAACAGCAACAAATATTGAATCAACAGTGCGGACCACGAGGTTTCTCCGAACTCAAACAGCCGCCTCCGCCACACTCTCATTTCCCTGGGGGCGGCCAAGTTATCGTCGATGTTGAAAATGAGATGCTGAGAAGGTAGAGTTTTCTTTCTTTTCTTAAACCCTCGTACCGATCTTTCTTTCACTCGCTGCGGATAATAATATCCGCGAAATTAACGTTAAATTTGTGTCTCCGTATCGATCGAATTTTTAAAGTAGCGTAAGTATTATGTAATAATCGAATACACGAAAATGAAAAGGTGGTTACGAGTTCTGGAAACGAGATTTAGCTTTAGATGTGATCTTCATTCATAAAAAAAAAAGGACGTTTGATGTGCACAATTTCTCGAGTAATAACAGTTTATCGCTTCATGGTGTAAATAAACTTTTCATCCCTTTGGTATTCCACATCATCGATGACCACCTTTTCCCTCGATACACTCTATTGCATGATTCTTGTTTGACGTTAATGTAGCGACGCATTTAGTTGACCAATAATTACATAATCCCTAACTACTGCTACGAAGCTCGTAACGATCGATCGTCGTTCCAGGAACGTTATGAAAGGCTCTCCAAACGATCCCAACACGCTTCTCCAACAGGGCCAGGGAACTCACACGTTGCCTCATCAACACCATTATCAAAAGCAACATCAGCAACAGCATGCCACTCTTCCCCGAGCTTCCGTCATACAGGACATGAATGCACAAACCCAAGTGAGAATCGTTTTACTCCTAACGTTTATGAACTGGTCTGTCATTGGTAGATTAGAGCAATGTAAAAGTTCATCGTTATTTTATATATCGTTCTGTTCACGCTATTTTATTTATTTTTCACTCGTATCGTACTCGAATTATCGTTCGAGAAGATTTGCACTACGATTAATTTGTCGAGTGGAAGCGTTCAATATCGAAATTTTTCTTATCTTAAAATAAGGAAAACTACTATCGAGCTACTTGGTGGTAATCCTTATTAAGTATAAATGGCAAATTTATTCGTGACGTTAAAATCAAAGATCTTTCTCTGTACTTGTCCTGTTGATTTAAAAAACTTCCACCATTTTAACGAGCCACGGCCTTTGAAAGTTCCGCTCATAATCCTATTAAGAGGCTTTTAAAACTGCTAAAGTCTAGCCAGGTGAAATTTACACCAGGGAAAGCTTCTTCTTGACGTTTCACGATGCGGTGATTATTTCAACGACCGAGGGATACCATCCTTTTATCTCGTTAGCGAATTTCCGAATTAGATTCGATGGAGATCACGATCAAAACGATGAACCTTCTTAAAATGAAAACTTTCATCTTTTTTTTTTTTTTTTTTTAGTATCCATTTCGTTTTTTATCAAAAATTTTTCCTCGACAGGATTCACTCGTTGGAAATGGACGTGATGCGAATTAATTGGACAAAATTTATTTCTTCTGTGAAATATGGCAATTGAATTTTCGAAGATCAATTCCGAAAAATTTATTCATTTCATATATCGTGATATATTATTTTTAATATCGTTTCGAAGTTTTCACTGTTATCTGAAGATCAGTTTATGATCACTTTCATGAGAGTATTTTCTGTTCTATGCACTCTTAATTTCTTTCATTTCGATCATTTCTAAAACATCAAATAGTTCAAATTATCGAATTAGAATCCTTCTATTTCGAATTTTCCTTTCTCCCTTTTCTAACGATATTTAAAAATTTCCAGGGTCCACCAAACGGGTCCATACATCTGACAGTACCAAGAGCCCCACCACCCCCACGAGCAAAGAGTCCACCCGAGAATCAGCCCCTGTTGCAAAATGCCACCGTATCGAGTCGCGTGTCCCAGGCCACGATGAGTGAGATGAGAGTGTGATGTTTGGACCCCCCTCCGAAGCCAGTCGTGCCGGACGTTCTTACGGCATCGACGTTACTTTAAACAACAGCGAAAAACCGTCTCGTCTGTGCCAGTCGAGTCTCTGCCCGACGAAAATAAAGAAAAGAAAAAAAAAAGTATGTTCATGGGAGAACTTCTTTCCAGGAAGATTCCATCCAAATTAAGAGCGAGCAACGCTCGACTGGCACCTGGCCTGAAAGCTTCTACCGTTTTCCATTTCCATCGTCCAGTTGACGACGACGCGCCGCAAAAACCAACGGAGGGGGGTGAACTGAGCTTTCGCTTAAAGCTGAAGGAACAATTGAAGATTATAAAGGGTATATAGGAGTATCCGGTATTCGTCGAAGAAGAATAATTAAGTTGGAAGATGAAGGTCTTGACTGTCTTGAAGAGGAAAATGAAATATTACTTTCTTCGGGCAAATTCTTTCGAGAAGGCTAATTTGAACGATGAAATTATTATTATTAAGAAGATCGAGAGAGGGATATCTGAGGAACGTTCTACGAGAAAGAAGATTTCTAGAGGAATCGGAGAACGAAGTGTGAATAGAGGAAATTCGAAAATTGAATTTTATACGAGTAGATTTCCCTCTAGATTTTCTGATAGAGATGAAAAAACAATAAATAAATAATTAAATCGCGTGTTCATCGACGGATACCAGAACCTCATCGCGATCGAGAATGGGTAGATGAATCGTGAATATGATCAATAAAATCGAAATTCTCGGTAACGTTAATTTGCGAGGATCGACGATTTTCTTTCTACGATTTTTCGAGTCGGAAAAGAAAGAATTTCGTTTCACACGATGACATCAAACGAGTATGATCAGCTAGCTAGTCGGTAATAATGAATTCTACGTGTTACGAAAGGGAAGAGACGCTCAAAATAAAAAATATCGAGCATGAAGACTCGTGTATCATACGCTATCCACTACGATGTTAGATGTTCCTTGTATATATTTAATGAGAAAAAAGACAAAAAAGTGAATTTATACGATAAGTGAAAGCCAAACATGTTTGCTACTTTCTAAGAAGACATGTATTCGTGTCGCGTACAGTTTGATCGTCCGTTATATTCGTTTCGTCATTTCGTTTTTTCATTTTCTTCCTCTTACGATTGACTATAAACGTTACGCGGTGTGTGCGAGATCATTATCGCTCAGATCTTCATTGTGAAAATAAAAGAAAAGTTCATCGGCGAGTCGACTCGTTTTTTGCTTTTGATTGGTCAAAGAATCTTTTAATTCACTATGTTGATAAAAAGTATTTAAATATTACAGATCAATGGAACATTAAAATCACTTCAATTTTCTTTTCTTCTTTTTTTATTTAAGATATTAGATGCCTCCTTCGCATAAGACACAATGGACCGTCCATTTTTTGCTATTATGATCTTTAAAACTCTGTTTAAATATAATCAGTCAATATTAAACGAGCTCCAGACATTGTACTATAAAGGAATTATCATTAAGTTAGAATTATCATATATATAACTGATATTTGTAAAATTTTGAAGAAGGTAATAAAAACTATTGAATGCTTATCATGTCTGAAATAGAAAGTTGTTCGAATGTGAATTTTTTAAAATTATGGCTATATAATATAAGAAAATAAAATTAAAAGGTCGTGAAATTCCTTTCATTCAATCGTAAAAATGGAATTAAAATGTCTGGATTTACATATATTGATATAACGAATTCTCTTTTGCCAATCAAAAGCTTCGATCGTCGATGAACAGTGTCGTTCAACTTCGTCTCATTGTTATAATACCGTAATTCAGAATGATATCATTTCATCAAATAAAATCAAACTGAACGACGCTTTTGAAATGTGCCGTTCCGACAATGAACATTTATGTAAAATGATATATGGATAATTATCATCTTTTTTACGCTTTTGGTAACATATAAATCTCTCAGCGAGAAAATTTTCATTTCATTCGAATCACGTATACTATTGACAAAAATAAAAATTGATAAAAATAAAAAGAAAAAAAAATACGAAAGAAAATGAAGTGAAAATAATCGTGTATAAAAAAGCTCGATTTACATTTGTTTAATCAAACGCGATTTTTTTGATAGATTGTAATTTTATCTAAACATATTATATTATATATTATTTTATAACATATTATAAAAGATAAAAATTGTTATTCCTTTATTTATAAGAATAATTCATTGTTATAATATATTGTTGTAATCTAATTCTCAAAATAATTGAATAAATTTTTTTTTATTATTTTACTATAATTCGATAAAAATTTGAAATGTTATGTTTGAATTTCATGTTTCATTTAATATCATATTTTGCCAATTTAATTGAACAGTATAATTGAATTGATACAATAAACTAAATCACCAATGTAAATCGAGCTATATAGTCCACGAATCGATGATACACAAACATGGTTATTGGTTAAACAGATGCTTTAAAAATAACCATATACCATGAATGTGGATTTAATTAAGATTTCTAAAATACTATCTTAAAGAGTCGACGATAGTGAGTCGTTGAAAGAGAAAAAAAAAAATTTATAATAAAATTAGTCGATTCGCATTCGGATCCAAAATATAAGTGATTTTTTTGTAAAAATAAATGAATACGATATAGATGTAACATAAAGATTAACATAAATCTGTTATCGTGCGTAATACACTGCCACTGGACATGTAAATTCACGTAAAAAAGGATAAAGAATTTCGATCGGTCGATTCAAATTTAAAACTCAAATGTGATTTGAATCTTTGAAGCATTATTTTAAATTTTAAGAATATTTTCTAATTTTTCTAAAAAAAAATTTTTAAATTCAAAATTCAATAGTATATACATAATTTATTATCATATTTTTATTACTTTATATTTATCACATAATTTTTATCATATTTTTATTGCTTATCATCAATTGAAAAATAACTTTTAAATATGAAATTGTGATCTAGAATATTATATATTAATATGTAAGCAATTTCTATTAGACTTACCTATTAATTCATCACTTTGTTGGATGTCATAGTTGTTAAAGTTGTTCAATAGATTGATTTTTTTAATACATTCGAAAATTATGCTCCAAAGAATTAGTCACAGAACAAAATTTAACACTTTCACTGTTATCGAATAATCAAACTATTTACAATGAAATCGAAAATTAAATATTTATTTCTATTACTATTTATATGATAAATGAATAATGAAAATCAAAACCGCGAAACACTTTTAAACTTTTTAATTATAAAAGCGCCATCTGAACAGATGTTAACAGATGTTAAAGGAAGTTTTCATGGTTGATCGACTTAAAATCTTGTTTTTATAAAACCATCACATGAAGACCGAGCTTAAGGAAGAAAAGAGTATGTGTTAATAACAAAACAAAGAAAATCAAAATTTTTTTGTACATACAATTAAGCTATTAAAAAATACAAAAAAGTAAATCAAAGGATGTGTTTATGATATTCTCGCCTGGATGATAACGATCGAAAAATTTATCGATCAGTTTCAGTATCATTGTGAATGCATAGAAACAACTGGAAAAATATTCGTTATACCAAATAAAGTCTTTTTTAAGATGACTTGCGGAATTTCGTGAAAAAGTTACGTAATAAATATCATTAAGTATGGACAATCCGAATATACTAAAGACTAAAGAAGAAAGAAATAATAGTAGATTTAATTAAGAAACAAATCATGATCGGTAAAGAAAATAATGGCGAAGAGATATACTGAACCGGTTAAACAGATGTTTAAGGAAATTTAAATAACATATATTAAATACACATATTATGGATTGTAATGAATTTATTATGGCGAATATTATTATATTTATGTGATTTTTAGCTGGCCTCGCGTTCCACTGAGAAGATTCCTAAAATAAATCTTTCGGCCGAAGGCAAGGCTACCTGTTACGTTTAACGTTTCTGTTATCAAATTGTAAATATATAACAAAATACATGGTGATATTAATTGTACGTGTTAAATATCTTTCCCACCTATGATAAGTTCTTTTTATTCAAATTTTTTGAACTATAAATAAACAACTTAGTCTTAAGAAGAAGTCTAGTCTTTTTAAATATATTATTCATTAACATATTTTAAATAAGAGTATTTTTATTTGCACCAAGCAACCAAACAGAGAAAATATTGAAATAAATTACGGAATTAACACCATCTTTGGAATACCATAAATGAAACTAAATACATAAGAACAGCAAATATAGAAGAAAAATAAAAATAGGATAAGAGTTAACTACGCCATCTCTTGAGTATGAGAAAGAAACATTATTCTAAAAATATTTTAATATTATTAATATTTTTCATAATTTATAATTTTAAGTAATGCTATTTATAAATACTATGCTATTTTTAAATAATGCTAAGAATATATTTTTGATCTATTACTATCTTTTTCTATTTCCTATTTTTTCTTTATGTGTTTTATTTGTAACACTCTGAATATGATACTCATCTTAATTTTTTAAGACTCTCTGTTCTTCTCTATTTGTTCTTGGTTGGTGCATAATCACAAGCATTATATTAGATATCAAATCTTCCGCGAATATAAGTATTACGTTACAATTTCTAAAAACAAAAATCTAAAACTAATATAAATCAGAGAAATGTCAAAAAAGTGTAAAAGAAATTTTCGTGCTACAAGAAATAGTATTTCATGTTATATGGAAAAAATGATATAATTTTTGCAATGCATTTTATTCGAAACCATATTTCACTTGTACTTTTATCGTTTCTCTTTCAAAAGTATATCTTAATTCTTCACTTTATAATTATTTAATATATAATACCTAATTTGGAAAATATTAAATTCAAAAAATAAATTAATTTATAAAATAATATCATTTTAAAACAGTCGTGTATAAATAAAATATATAATAACGTTCTACACATTTATAAATAAAAATATATGTATGTTAGACAATATTCTTGCAAAGTTTTAAATTGTGTTTTTAATTATAAAACATTAAATTAATTTAAAAACAAAATCGAACGCGCGAATATCTCCAACACGTGTAAACGGTACGCCTGTCGATACGTAACTGAGACTTATCCCTACCCCACGAGTAACTGTAGCTCGATAGGCAAAGTCGCGCATCGATAGTATTGTTCGAAATATATAAACATTTATGTCTTTATGTATTTCGAATGAATATCTTAATTCCTTTTATAATTTTATAATTTTTAATATTTTATTATTTATAAATTTCACAATTTATTAATTTGTAATGAAAATATTTCATTAAATTTATTAATTTTATACTGCTTATTAATATTTTTTTAAAAATTATTCTAGAATCTATTATATGTTTTAAAAAGATTTACAATATTTACAGCATTTAAATATTTTTGTCGACAAATTTAATTAATTATTTGACTAAAAATATCTTTCTAAAATCACTCAAGAGATGGCTCTGATGGTCAATTAACTTATTTTTATCTTTATTTCGTTATTGTTTTTGTCTATACTTTCTTTATAGAATTAATTCATGCATAAATTTATATATTTATAATAAAGTAAAAAAATACTAAGATTTTTAAAAAGATCTATAATTTATATAATGTAATAATATATTTATAATTATAAATACAAATAAATTATTTTTAAAATCTGTTGATTTTACCAACTTTTGTGATTGTGTGTGTGATTAAATTATATATAATTCCTACACTTATTATTTTAAATCATAGAGGGCGTACTGAACACTAATTTTTTTTTACGTGATCGATATTTCAGAACATAAAACAAAATTCCATTAAATACTATGTCTTGTCTGTGTGAATATAGTGATAATAAAGTGATAAGAATTAGAATTAATTAAGTGTAAAATTAAATTACAGGTAAAATGAATAATAATTAATAACTTTCTAAAAATTTCTTTCATATGGATATAGTGATTGAAATATTATAATCATTATGATTATATCAACGAAAATAAAATATTATGCTATTGATATTAGTTAATTTTTATTTCTTTTTATTCTTCTTTTTTTTTATAAAAACAGAATATGAAAATTTATGTATGATTAATGATTATATATTGATGTACAAATTTTAATACAATATTTTCAATACAAATCAAAACAATCATTATTTCCTCTCCATACATATTAAAAATTGCTTTAAATAAAAGTGTATAGCAATATGCTTATTGGAAGAAGTAGATAGTAATTTAGTGCATAAGATACGTAATTTAAGAACAGTATGAGTGACGTGATGTCTGCTGAGAATAGCAGGCAAATGTTTGTTTCGATAGAGAACTCTGTATAAGCGTACAAGTTTAATAGCTGCCTGGACTTCAAAGGAACAACATGTATCGAATGATTGCTGTAATTCTTATCGTATGCTTGTGCTTCTCACCAATGTATCGAGCTATCAATATCGATGATTGTGGTAAGTTCGATTTCATTAATTTAATTAATCATCTAATAAATTTATAATTATTAAAATATTAAAATATATTAAAATATTTTCTTCAGTTACAAAATTTATACAATACAAAATATATTACCGTGAAAAAAGAATAAAAAGAATACGTAAAGTATACGTATAATATAATTGTATAAATTAAAAATCAATAACTTATTCCTTTTCTTTATATTAAATAATATTCTGAATAGTTAATTAATGTCTTTAATCAGTAATTTTTGAAAAAATGAAGAAAAATATGATATATTAAGTCACTTATATCACTATTATAAATATTATTTATTAATTACCTGCAATATCATAAAATTCTTTGTAAATACAAAACAATTGAAATTTATGTTGATAATTTAATTTATCTTTTCTTTAATGATAAAAATTTTATTATCTAAATAATAAAATATTTTATTTCGTTTTTAGATATATTAAAAATCTTAATATGATTAAAAGTTTAAATTAATAATTAATAATTTTAACATTTTTTTTATAATTTATAATTTATATTGTTAGAAATAAAGGCGTAATTATTTTGTTTTAAAGAATTCATTTTAATATAATTTTACTTAATTATTGATTAAATAACATACAATTAATATAATTGTATATAATCGTAAAAATAACGGAAATTCATCTTAAAAATTGAAAGTCATGATATATACTTGTCTAAAGAATTGCCAATGCTATATATTAATTTATTTACGTAAAGAGATATACGAATATATGAATATATTAATTTCAAATTTTTGTAACTTATAACTTAGCAAAAAAAAATAGTAGTACTTAAAACTAATATCTGATTTATTTTTAAAATATAATCTTGTTTACATAGGCTCAAAAGTGGGAAAACTTACGTCTATAACTTTGGACTGTGATATGACCAAAAGTGTATGTGATTTAATACCAGATACGAATGCAACAATTCGAATCGATTTTACGCTCGGTTAGTATATTTCTTTTTTTAAGTATTTTTTTTCTTTTAAGTATAGCATAGTTAAAAAAAGAAAATACATTTTTACAGAAAAAGATGTTTCAAAAGTTAATGCCATTGTGCATGGTATTGTAATGGATATTCCTATACCTTTCCCATTACCAAATGCAGATGCTTGCCAAACTCCTGATTCTGGCATTACATGTCCTTTAAATAAGGGTGAAACTTATCACTATAAAAATACATTACCAGTGCATAAATCGTATCCTAAGGTACTATCAATAATTATATATTAATCTGTTGTTTATATTATAAAAAATTATTATTGATTTTAATTATTAAATTATAGGTGAGTGTTACTGTAAAATGGCAACTTAAAGATGAAAATAATGAAGATATTATTTGCGTGCTAATTCCGGCTCGAATTAAATAGATATATTAAATGAGTATTATTGTTTCACAATATATTATAATTCTATTTTCAAAGAAGTATATATTTTACAAAAATTGTATGAAATAAATACAAAGAGGACTAAAAATGTCAATTTTTCATAACACATTTCATAATATGAATTATTTTAATGTACAAAATATACAAGAATTTCATACAGTTTTTATTGAAATGAATACATGTAAAATAAGAATATATTATATTATAACAATAAATAATAAATGTTCTTTTTTCAAATATATAACAAATTTGGACATTTTATAAAATAAAAAATAAAATTATTAATAGGAATTATTATGAAAATATGTAAAGCTCATGTTTATTTATAAGTTACTTATTTTATGCGATATTATTTAATTTCAAGCAAAGATTTAAAAACTTTTAGAGCTAGATAATTAAATTTACTTAATATATGTCATTTTGCAATGAATTTTAAATTCTTAAATATTAAATAATATAATACCCTTTAATTTTGCTAGATACCTATATATTTAGATATCTTTTAAAATGCGTCGACGTAAAAAATGTTACTTTTTTATTAAGTTTATTTATTTATCTAACCTAAAATAAGTCTTTTGGTATCTTCAGCATTCTCAAAAAAAGTAGTCAACTATCCATTGTATCACATTTATCCTCTGTTCTTTCAGTATCCATTTGATGGATAGTTCTTTTGGTTGTTTGTCTCAATAAACATTGTTGTTTACTTTTTAATGTTTTTTGAGCTTGATATATTGGTTCATATTCTCTCAATTGTGCCATAAAACCTTCATTAGGATTTATACAAAACCTTCTTTGTTGTACTATTGCATATGCACATCTAGAAAAATGTACTTTTAATAATTTCTCAAATGAATTATATAAAAAATTTTATGGAAAAAAAAAAAAAAAAAAAAAAA